ATGCCCACAATCGATTTCTTTTGTACTGATCATTCACACTGGTATTCAATCTACAGCCGTCTCTGTCTGTTCTTTTTTTGTTATACATATTTCTTAAGTAACCTATTCCCCTCTGGATTCAATTTACTTTTATATTTCTCCTGACATATCCAATTCTCCCTTCCAAGAAACAAGGTGGGCAAAAGCTTGCTCTTATACACAGACATTTCCTCTTCTTTCAGCAAACCATTTCTCATAACAGATTACCCACCACTAGAATTTGCATGTCTTAAAATCTCTCCATTCACTTTCCCGTTTTAGTCAATACTCTATCGAGGTACCCAAATTGCTATAGTTTATAGCATACTTATATGTGCTATAGTTTTTCACAGTGTATGTATAACTTGCAATCATGCATTCCATTTTTCTTGTCAAACTCAATTACCTTGATCTTTACTACATTTTCAGACTGTCAGATTAAACAATCTATTCATTAAAAACCATTCAAGTTCTCTTCACTGACAACAAGGCATTTTCTGCATACAAAAATACATATACATTCACATCCCAACCATCACATCTTCAAATTACCACAAATATTCCTTATAATTTTATCCATAAATACATTAAACAAACAAGGGGACCTCACATATTCTTTTCTTACACCTTGTTCAGTGTTGAACCAACTGGTAAACATGTCCATTACCTCCATTTCATTTGGCCCTTTTTTCCAAGCCTTAACCTTCCCCAGGAATCTGCTGTTCTTAGTTAGATGCCTTGCTCTGCCCTCACCATATCAATCCTGCCAATATTCTTGTAGCTTGAAGTATGAATAGTTGGAGTATTTGCAAATATTTCAAACATCCCCAGCCAAAAAAATGCCAGAAACTTCATTGCTTTCAATATAATACAGTATAGATTCCTTTATCATACAGATCCAAGTAAGCATTTTGCTTACTTGAAAATCTGTGTGATATACTAAAAATATTAAAACAATAAATCATGGGATTGTTTTATCATGTTCATAACAACCTATTCCTTTAAAAAACTGATGTTGGATCTGGTAAATCTAAATCAAATGTTCAAAAAAACATATGATTAACTAAAGTTCTCATTCTGCTCTTTTAAAATAAATTTTCCCTCAAATTGAACTCAGTTCCTGTTGACTACCTGGACATGTTGGTGTAGTTTCATTGGCAACAATATGGAAATGATTCACTACTGCCTTCCTCTAAGATACTTTTTCAACTTCTCTATCAAGTCTGAAAGTTTGATATTTCCTGGTTGTCTTCCATCCAAGCGTTAACCGGACGATGCTTTTGCGATCACCTAAGATTGCCACTGACCAGAGGTTCTGTTCTTCTAGTACCAAACTAATTGTGGAGAGCCACAGAGATGACCTTGGGCAAGTTAGACAGTAACAATTACATAAATGAAAGTTGTGTGACAATGAAAGTATGAGAAAGAAGCTCAGATTGACTCCTCCCTAATTCACTCTCGTACAAGGAGGAGGGAGGGAGGAGAGAACTCAGTCAGGCTTTCAAGATTGATGCCAGCTCTTTGAGGTAGGCCAGGTCAGGAAACAGACTCCACAAATCCACCTGAAACTCTATTGATATTGGGTCTTGTTATAGAATCTTGAAAGTCCCCTCCTTCCCTCTTATACCCCAGAGAGTTAGGGTGGAGCCAGTCTGAATTTCTTTTTTTATGTTTCCCTCATTTCCTGGGCTTAAGGCATGTTTTTGTAACTGTCACTGCATAGGTTCTCCAAGGTCATCTCTGTGGCTCTCTACAAATATACAGTTTGCATTTGTCTTTTGATTTTCTTTCTTTATATATTTTCATCCCTAGTGTTTGCTTTTCAAAACCCAGTTGAGTTTTATTATTTGCTTACTTGTTGACTTTATGCCCACACTTTCAAGGAGGATTTTGCAAAACAAGTGGCTTCAAGGAGAAAGTCTCAAGCAGAGTCACATCCCCGCTTACACTAGAGTAAATTAAAAATGGAAGAGCAGCTGAACATAATGTATTTAGCACAGTGCATACCTCAATTCTATGATTTACTTTCTGTAACAACCAATGCTAAATTCCACTCGACATGAAAAAAGCATATAAGTAAATATTTCAATTCAGCTCTTTTCTTCTTTTTAACAACTGAGAAACTCAGGTACAGTAGCTGCATGTATAAGACCCTATAATTAAAGTCAATAAATGCATGCCACTAGGGAAAAGCTGTAAAAATACAGATGGATCCAAGTGGGAATGTTCTGTCTCAGTAAAATAACAAGATTAACAATCATCCAAGTAAAAAAAAAGGAAAGAATGTAAAAAGAGACTGACAGTGCAAAGGAAGGAAGAGGAAGTCATCAAGTTTCTGAACACGAACCTGTTATGTGTATTTTTATTGCATTCAGAAATCAATGACACTATTAATTTCATCAACAGTATGGTAAAAGTTGGATTATTTAAAATTCAAATTACCATCAGCATGTGTACATATATGTGTATATGTGTACATGTACGTGTGTACGTGTACGTGTGTGTGTATCACATAAATCACAGAGAAACAGACAAGTTTCATAGCAAGACTGAATCAGAAGTATCAACAAATCAAATACACAGTTGTATGGATCACCAACTCTTCATGTTTAGGAAGACCCTGAAGATTGTTTTATTTCAATGGGCCTTTGGCCATAGCAAGGAATTGGGTGCCTGCATTAATTATATCTTAATATTTAATTGTTATTATTTAAATATATAAATGAATGGTTGTATTATTTTTTGTATTTTTTGCTGTGTACCACCCAGAGTTCTATGAGAGGACCGCATGCAAACATCGGAAATCATAAATTAAATAAATAAATATTGTGCAGGCTTCTGGGTGACCAAGCATGTACTGTGACATCATGATGCAAACTCCACCCTCTGTGCTCTGCTTGCATAAGGCATCATGACTCAAGCATGAAGGACAGGCTTGTGTTGTGACATCACAGCGCACATTTCTTGATTTGGGCATCATTGTAGTTTGAATGCCTATGTATAGAGGTCCTAGTATAGGCCGCCTATATGGAAAGGAATAAAACAAGATGAAATACCTGAGGCAATTAATATTATTCTCAGCCTTCCACCCCCTACCCCCTGTGCCTATCAGAGGATTGGGCCACAGCTCCCAACATCTGCAGGAGATGATAAGAACTGAGATTTAACTTGTCCCAACCCTGCCAGCCTTCAGGAAGGCCTTGAAAACCTGGCGGTTCCCTTGGGTGTTGGGGCTAGATGTTAAAGAAACTCATCCCCCAAGGTGGAGTCTGTGCTGATGTGCCCTGCGTGTTTGATTGTTGTTTTCTGTGAAGTTCTGTTGTCTTGCAATTTAGCTTTTTTGTTGTATGCCATCCAGAATTGGATTTTTGCACTATGAGCAGCCATAAATAAATAAATGATTTAAGTAAATCAAATAAGTCCTCCTCCAGATTTGGAGGGTACCAAGCTTTTGCTATAATCAGCTGTTATTGCTTTCTATTCCTTCCATCAATGGCCACCATGAGAATAGTAGACTAGAACCTGGTAGACAGCAAAATGTCCCTGAAATCAGGATTACTTTGCCACAAAAAACCCCTCCTAATTATATTTTTCTAAGTCCCAAATAAAGAGACAGAGTTTCAACCCTGGCTGCAGAGTAATGCTTTTGGACCTTCTGTTCAGGGACGTGTTTTCAGGCAGTTTATTTTTCATTTTTCATTTATTTTTCAGGCAGTTTATTTTTCATTCTGGAAAATATCAGAGAAGGTTAGAGAAGGGTATTAAATCACCAGGACTAACCTAATTCTGATAAATGAGGAACTTCTGAAAGAAGATAATAATGACAGTCTCTCACCAGTTCCACAAATTGCAAAGAACCAGTCCCTCACAGGTCTCATTTGAACATATCTTGTACGTATGGATCTGATTTATTTCCATGGAAGTCAGTCAAAAGGGTTTTCCAGCAGGTTGCACCAAAAAGTTTATTCCATCACAATAATGATTCCCAAAATCTAACATCTGAGCTAGCTAACTCACTCTACCCCAGGTAAGGCCATATCTTACAGGGATCATACTCAATAGTCACAATTATAAGCAAGGTCAAAAATCATTACAGTTACTGTTGACTAGATGTCTTATTCATATATCTACTAATTTTTATGCAACTGTCAGACATGGTTGTTCTTTTTCAGAACAGCTCTCAAGAACAAGTAAAGTTTGCATGGGGTCTGTGAGGAGGCATCTAAAGAAATGTGCAGAGTAACATCTCAGTACAAAGTCTGCCCCTTATGTACCTGTGTGTGACATCACAACTTAAATAGGAAAGAGTGGAGCTTGCATTGTGATGTCATAAGGTGTATTTTGTCATTGGTTAGGTCTGGATGGCTATGAAGATTTAGATGTATTTTGATGACTTGTAGACATTATTTAATCGTGCCAGCTGTGCTATGATGGATCCCATGAATCAGCTCCCAGAAAAATCTATGGAGGATTTCTTTGACATTATTAGTTAATAGGGGTAATCAGTCAAGTTCCAATTCAAATTCAAGCTTTGAACATGGCAAGATTCAACTCAAATGTGTCATCTAAGAACTGGAGGCAACAAACTGAATTCAAATTGATTCAAGATTCAGACTTTGATCCATTGACTGAAATGGCAAAGAATAAAAATGCTTGTAACTGAAGGCTGAACACTATTCACCTGGGTGAGCAAAACAAGAGGCAACAGAACTTCCATTCTGTATAAATTGAATCTTAACTTGCTTCCTCTCACCCAGCCCACGACTATTTATCCCTATTCCAAAAGCGCAGGGCAGAATTAAAGTGACCTTTTATACAAAGGGCAATTTTGAACCTTTTCATGAATATGTATATATAAGGATGGAAACTCTTCATCCATTTTGCTCTACTAATGCTAACATTTGTTTCTTTGTGTTTATAGTGTTTCCAGAAACAGCATTGCTAGTATACAATGTACATATAAACATTTGCACAGGGACAAATTACTGTGAAAATTTTGAACTATCTCAGGCTTGCAGAAGCCACTGTTTGCGTAGGTGTTCCAAAAGAGCTTGGTGTTGCCATTAGGTGAGTCCTCATGCCTTTAATAATTTTCTCTTGGGTTTCAGTTGGTGTGAGCCTTTGGAGGGCCTCTGGGAACACACCCAACATTTTGGAGAGGATATGTGTGGTTCGTGAGAGCAGCTTGCTCAACCTTGATTTCGGGGCACCCAAGTCCAAGATCATATTCATTATTAAGTCAGTGTATTTACTTAAAGATTGAATGAGAGAGTTCATCCTTTTCTGTTTGTGAAAGAACTTTGCAAATACTTATTCAATTAACAGAATGAGCTGCAGGAGAGACCAATATTGTGGACCTAGCTTCCATGTTATAAAGTAAGAGAAAAAGCTGTGTAAGACCAAGAACTCAAGAGTCTAACATGACTTAACTGCACTATACTAATTAGAGGGTTTTTTCTATTTAATCAAACAAATAGATACAACTTGGTGCAACATGCTGCTGTTGCTATTTGTGTTTGATAACATATGGGGTATAAAACTGTGCTGTGTCACTGCTATGAAGGGAAGAATGGGGTATAGTTCTTCAATCAGAAAAAATATTTCTTAGATGAAGATCTAGACTGAGAGTTGTGGGGCATTCCATTGTAACTCAAATATTTTTCTCCTACCATTTTGCAAATGGAAGTATGAAATACAGGTTCTCTCGCTTTATGCTAGTTACATTCCTCCAAAACTTCACATAAAGTGAATGCACATAAAGTAAGACACCGAACCAGTGGAAAATAGGGGGTTGTGGAGTACAGTGTCATGTTCTGTAACCCAAATGCATTGATAAATGTGGTCATACATTTTAGGGCCTTATTCTTATGCACTACATTACTCAAACATGTTGTCTTCCTTGTCTTGTGTTCTATGTACAGTGAAAGCGTTTTCTTTTCAACAGCTGGATTTCTAACATGCATGGTTATCATGGCAGACAAAGAGGTAGAATGCATCACAGCACTACAAATTTTATTAGCTTTCTTTGTTACGTCGTACTTAGTAAATTTGTCCTGGTTAAAAGTTCATCCTAGTGCTGTGGAACCTTTACCAGCTTCGGTGTGATGTAATATGTCCCCCTTTGTTTCTTGTATTAAACAGATCCTTTTCATTTTGGGTTAGGGATTAAACAAGATGTTGATGGCCATTTTGATGGCCATAGTAACAGTAGTAGCTGTTGCAGGTACAGGAGTAAGTTGGAGACAGGTTACATAAATAGAACAACCACACAATGCGAGGGTTTTGGTGGGAAAATATTCCCATGTTCTGGTAGGAAGAAATCTTGGCATGTTTCCAGACCTTTGGCACAAATTGTCAATGCGGGTTCAAACTGCATAATAGCTTTTTAAAAAAAAACAAACAAATTCTAAGACAAAAACAATTGTTCACATAATAGCGAATTTGCATAAAACAAGGGAAACCTATACATGGATTGATGGTGAAGAGGACTGGGAATTCTAGGAGTTATTGGGAAAGTGGGTACAATAAATTGGCAGTTGCCTGCGCAGCTTAAAGTACACCATAGCTTGTTCTATTCTTAACTCTTTTTAAAGTTGAATGAAGCTTCCAGTGAACTTGTGCATTAGTATTAGAGTCAAAACGCAGGGCTGTGAATAATACATAATCTGTTTTGGCAGTATCTAATGTACAGCATAAATATAGAGATCTGTACTAAGAATAGTGCTATATAAAATGCTGTGTTGTATTATTAAGAATAGCCATTTCCTCCAATATTGCTGTGAGCAAAACTTAACTAAACAATGTTAAGTAATTATGGACATGAAAATGGGGAAAGGAAAGAACAGTTCAGGACTGAAGCAGATGTTCTCATTCACATCAACACAAATGTTTGCATTATTCAGCATCTCTGGAGTCACTACCATCAAGGTCTCCAGTAGAGAGGCCAGGTGGCCATCCCAGCTAGAAACAGATGTCTATTTATGGGTTGGGATAATCTTGCTGCATTTTTTATTTACTGATCTTTTATTTGGTCATGATTAGCTCCTATTTAAGTACTGTACATCGGCCTTCTCCAACCAAATGCCCTCTCCAGATATACTAGACTTCAAATCCCCTGACCAATTGGTCATGCTGACTGGAGGATTATGGGAGATGTTACCACATGCCATAAATAACAGAAGCAACTTCCATTAAAACCCATGCAAGTCCACCAAAAATCTGGTAGAATATATCTCTAAGGCTGTGTTTGCTCTAGCTTTAGAAATAAAACAAAATATTTCATATAACATGACATTCGTCATCATTCCAAAGAGGCATCATTATCATTCAGATGATGTGAACTCATTTTCTGAAGATTATCCTTTTTGTAAGGTAGACCTCGGGTTACAACCATTTGTTCAGCAGACATTCAAAGTTCCAACAGCGATAAACAAATGGTCCTTATGAGGGGTCCTCAAAGTTCCAGCCATCGCAGCATCCCTGTGGTCATGTGATTATGAGCTGGATGCTTGGTGCCCAGCTTGCAATTATGACATTGCAGTGAGCCGTGGTCACGTGATTGCGATTTCTGATGTTCCTACCGGCTTCCCACAAGCAAAGTCAGTGGGGAAGCTGGCAGGAAGTTGGAAGTCACAGTCATGTGAGGTCCTTGCTTAACAACTCGCATGGTCCTCACTTAATGACAGCAACGTGGACTGCCAGGACTGCCATCACTAAGCGACATGGTCATGTGATGTCACGCTTTATGACCAGTCACTTAGCCAGGGAAATTTCAGTCGTAAGCTGAGGACCACCTGTATATAAAATGATACTTTCTTCATACAAGACAGAGGTAACAACATGCCCAAGTCAACTCCAATGTTTGCAGGAATAAAAAAAAGCTTTGCTGGGGAGGACTCTAATAGGAAAGAATTGTCTAAACTGCCTAGTGGCTATTAAGAAAGGCATCCTGGCCATTATATATTACTGATGGTTTATTGGGGGGAAAAGAAAAATTAAATGCAATATTTTAACAAAGTCAAAATAATGTTACAAAGTGCCACAGAAGTACGTGGAGTTACACTAACAGAAAATATGAAAAAAGGATGCTTGGTGGAATGATTCCATGAACAAGGCTGTGGATGATGGAACAAATGCATAAAAGGGAATGACTGCTGCAAAAAATAAGAGTGAGAGAATGTATGTATGTATGTATGTGTGTGTGTGTGTATGTATGTATATATATAAAAGATATCTGCAAGCCATGTAGTCAAAGAGAACATGGAAGGGTTAACATTAAAAGGGGCAGAGAAAATGCAGAGTGAGGGTGTCTGAATATCACATAGATACCTGACAATTGCAAAAATGCCATTATTCTTTCTCTATAGGACAGGATTCCTCAACCTCAGCAACTTTAAGCTGGCTGGGGAATTCTGAGAGTTGAAGTCCACCCACCTTAAAGTTGCTGAGGTTGAGGAACCCTGCTATAGGAAACAGAAATATAGAAGAGTGAATGGGGGAAAAAACCTATGTCGGGGGAGGAGGTTAATTTATTCAGTGTGCTCAGGAAGGTGTTTTACAGAATTCTGATCAAAAGGGCATGAGAGGAGACAATAAGCAAAATTTGGGAAGTTCAATGCAGCAGAAGGTATGCTAGGCAAAGGGTGGGTACACCCGACTTTCACTCTTTAGTGGGCCATTGAAAAATGCATGAATGATAGAAAGAAATTTTCTGTATTTATAATAATTTTATTAAAAGTTTTAATTATAATGGTAAAAGATAATACAAACTAAAAAAGAAAAAAAAGTTGAGAAATTTTCCTGTATTTAAAGGCAATGTTGATTTAGAGGCAATGTACAAAGCAGTGTGTTGACATGATAGAAGCAAGGATGGCTTGCAAGGATAGAAGGAGTGAAGGAGCACAGCGAATGGTGTTGGCAAAAATTACAGGTAACTCTATTTTCTTTTCTTTCTTTCTTATTTATCTAGTTATTTTAATTTCTTTGGCTTATTATTTCTTACTCCATTTATTCTCTTTGCATAAAGTTGTTTACCCCCCCAAAAAACATTTTTTTATATATAGTATGTGATAACACCTGATTAATGCTAAACTCTTTTTCTTCTGCTCATCTATGTCCAATGGTTATGTATTCCGCATATACATTTTTTCCCTTCTTTGGTATTTATTAAAAACACAGAAGGCCAAATAGAATGAGTTGTGCAAAGTACATGTATACCCAAACATCCACAATCCACATATACAATCTGATGCAGAATGGCATTACAAAGTACCCTTCTGTGTTTTATCCATGTAATACAGCTAGGAAAGCAGGTTTGCTTTGCACTGATTTTTCATGTTATAAACCAAGTCATGGTTTTAGCCATGACTCAGTAAAATTCATTCTAGGAAATAGGAGTGAATACCTCTTTCTCTAGGTGGTATAGTTTTCAAGTTGTCCTTGATGTACACTTCCCAGGAAGGGTGCTAGAGAACTCCAGGCACGGCACTAATACCGAAAAGCATAATCCACAGGGCCTGCAGGATCCAGAATAGTAATCCGTACTGAAAGGTTGAACAATATGTTATGCATGAGAACATTTACTCGATGTCATTTTGCCGGGCTCTGTTTCTGTAGAATCAGATTTATCGTGAGGTCACATAAAGTTCTTTGCCTTAAATTCTGTACAGGAGGCAGGGGCAAATATCAGGAGATAAGTCAGTTAATATCATTAACAATGGCAATGGCCCTTAGTGTAAAGAGAGCAACTGCCGTGGCATCTTGAAGGCAGGTGGGATACTGGTTTCATTTTTCTAATTAACTCTAATTAACTCCACAAGTTCCTTTCAAATTTCTCGGCAATATATACACCAAGTGGTTCTTTTAGCTTTTTATATTTGGCTTGCTGTTATTTAAGAATTTTTTCCCCTTAATATTGTGTTTAATTCCTTGGTTCTTTGTTCAGGTTCTCTTAATCACTCTGTTACAGAACAGAACACATCTTTATTCGGTCAATGACCAGCAAATTTAAGAGAACAATGACAGA